GCCGCCGCCGCGGCCCCGGCCCCACCGCACCCGCCGTAGCCGCCACTGGCGGCGCGCCCCGGCCCCGCAGCGCTGCCCCGCAGACCTTCTCGAGCGAGCCGTCCATGGCCACGGGCCCGGCGCCGCCGCCCCGGCCGCTCCACGCTGGCAGCGCTGACGGGGCCGCGCGGGGCGGGCCGCGCTCGCGCGCTCACCTGGGCAACCGGCCCGCCCCCCGCCGCACGCACCACCGCGCGGCGCCGGCGGGGGGGTGCGCGGCGGACACACTGCGCACGGCGCGGCGGGGCCGGCCCTTCCCTCCGCTCACCGCCTGAGGTTGGTCCCCCCACGCCGGCTGTTGGAACAGTCCCGGAGAAAGCCCGGGCCAGTGACAGATACCGGCACATGCGCAGGGAGCACGGGCCGGGCGGTGATGGGCTCCGGTTTTGGCGAGCAGCTGGTAGTACACGGGTTCGAATCCCCGGCGCGGCGTGTTGTGGCAGGCCGGACCACGGCAGGGCTCTGCGTGGCTCCAGCCTTCGCGAAGTTCTCAGTTGTCACCCCGCTGTCGCCTACTTGGGTACCGAAGCCTTCCCTCTGCGTACGGGTCCCGCGCCGGAACGCTGCATAACGGCGGCGGGCAGCACGCACCTGTCCGTGGGCTCCCGTCCGACAAGCAGCCCCCGGAGACCGAAACACTGGGTTTTTCCTGAGCTTTATTTCTGTTTTTTCAAGCTGGAGTTACTTTTTCCTACATATCCTTCATCGTATTAGTGCCATTGCTGTTATTTAATGGCACTATTTGCAGCAGGCGTTGTTCTGCGCGGGGATGTGTTGGGATGAGGGAAGGGCAGCCCCTGGCCCTGGCACAGCGGGTCTGCCAAGCGCTGGGCAGCGCGCTCTGCACTCTTATTAAAATTTACTTAAATCTACAAGCCATCCATGCCTATTTAGTCGTTCATGGAAGAATTTATTCTTAGTTTCAAAGGGATTAATCCAGGTCACAGAGCGAACTACCACCTCCTGCCTGGAGATGGTTCCCTCAGTCAAGCCTGAGCCCATTGCCAGGAGCAAAGGAAAACTCCCGGCGCTCCCGGATGCGCTCCCTTCCTTCCGTGGCCAAGGGGGCTGTCTTGAGGACACGAGGTAGCCTCGGTGTCACCTCACCACGTGGACTTCAGATCCGCTTTGTGGCACTGGTTCTGAGTGTACAAAGCTGTGTACACGAATCTCTTCAATAACCTCACAACACTCGTGGCTTTCTCCTCAAGTTGTCTCAGCAGCAGAGGGCAAAGCAGAGGAACCCCATGGGCTGCTGCTGCTTAGCAGGTGTGCATAGGCCCTGCTCAGACTGCAAAACAAGGGCCAAATGGAAAAGGCCGTAACTTACGCATGTAAGCACGCAACAAGGAGATAATGAAAAAGAAAAAAAAGATAAGGAAACAGTGCCTAGTTTTCATTTGTCACTCGATAGTTGCGGCACTAATGCACAGTGACCCCATGGTGCTACTTAGAAAAGCCCAGGCGACACAGTCACCGCCATCCTCGGGGTGAACGCACGGGCACTCGAGAAGCGAGCCCAGGAGCTGCCACGAACCCGGCTGCCCCTCCGTCACCCGCGGCTCATCCACCGCCCACCGGGGCCCGCCGTGGGGAGGGAGCCGGCCCTTCCTGGCAGGGGGAGCGCTCCGGGGCCGCGGGGATGGCGAGGCGGCGGCGGGGCCGGGGAGGCGGCGGCGGGCGGGCCCGTGGGAAGGAGGAGGAGGAGGAGAAGGAGAAGGAGGAGGAAGGAGAGGCGGAAGCGGCGGCGGCCGATGGCCGGGGCGCTGCTGCGCGGGGTGCGGCGCTTCCCCTGGCTCTGCAACGTGCTGCTCTACGGGGGGCTGTTCGCGGCGGGGGACGCGGCGCAGCAGCGGCTGCGGGGACAGCCGCCCGACTGGGCGCAGACGCGGCGGGTGGCGCTGGTGGCCCTGGCCTTCCACGGCAACTTCAGCTACGTGTGGCTGCGGGCGCTGGAGCGGGCGCTGCCCGGCCGCCGCCCGGCCGCCGTGCTGGGCAAGGTGCTCTGCGATCAGCTTCTGGGCGCGCCCGTCGCCGTCCTCGCTTTCTACACGGGTGAGTGCCGGGGGCTCCGCCGCAGAGCCCCGCGCCCGCTGCGGCACCGCACCGCGACCCGCGCCGGGCTCGGACAGCGCGCACCGGCGGCGGGGCCGGCATCCACCTCAAGGAGCCCGGGGGGATTGGGGACCCCCTGGCCGCCCAACGCGGCTCCCGCACCCCAAAACGCCGCTCGGAGCGGGGGCCGCGGCCGCCGGGCTCGGCAGCTCCCCCCGAGGATGGTGCTGAACCGCCTGTGGCACTTCAGAGCTCTCCAGGAGGGGTCCTGGCCCAAAAGAGCCCTGCCCTGAACTCGGCTGGGCCCGTGGCTTTTCATTAGCAGCAAAGAATGCAAAGCACCTTACAAGGATTGTAGCCATGTCTGTTTGAATTGCCGTGCTCAGTTCTCAGCATCAGCTGTCTCATTTTATAAAGAAAAACTGCTGTAAATGTCAGCAAATGCCACTGTTCAGCCAACCAGGTTCTGCTGTGAGAGTCTATAGAAATAAAGCATGCTACTAATGGCTAATCTCAAAAGCTAACAAGTAATAAGATACTTTAAAGCGATCTAGTATGTATTTCAGAAATAAACATGAGGGATAAGAAAATTAATAGGTGAGACTAATGTAATTAAATGCTCTCATTTAACTTAGACTTGATGTGGTAGAAGAGTAAGACAGGTCCTCTTTTTGTCTGGGATTGGGAGATCTGCAATCTATCACTCCAACAGGGAAATCATTCAATTTGTGATTGAAGAGAAATGAAGTAAAAAAGAAGCCAAACACCAGATACTTCGTCTCAAAATCTTAACTGTGTCAAACCTTAAGCTGAGAATTGCCCAAGGACCAGAAGGATCTGAAGGACCAGAAAAAGGATAGTGAAAAGTCCCTGAACTGGGTAGCAGTAAAATAATGTATCCATTGAGAGATACTGATAACCCCAAGGCAAGGGAATACCTGGAAAGATCCCAGAGTTGGACTAGGAAGCCTCTGCTTGTGTGCAAAATGCCTTATTCTCTCTCTCATGGGTGCAAGAGGTGCTTTCATCCTCTCTGTTCCACCACTACACCGCTGGTGTGTGATATGGCAGAGAAACAGATGCTACAGGACCTGTACACCCAGTCAATCCCAGCTGATCTCAGGTGGCAGTGCTGGGAGTCAAGTCAATAGATGAGGTGATTTGACGCAGCACTATTCAGTAGTCAAAATGGTATTTTTGTAACAAAATCAGCTTTTCTTTCAAAGATATTATAATGTATTTTGAGAAGGGTCTGGGATGTCACTGGAAAATGTGAACATTTAATTTTTTTGCATTTTTTCTGATTGTTGTAACTATTTTACCACTAGGTATGAGCATCCTTCAGAGGAAAGAGGACATCTTTTCAGACTGTAAAAAGAAATTTTGGAATACATATAAGGTGAGGCAAGCAATTTGCTTAGCTCACAGCTAAACAAACAAACAAACAAACAGACAAAAAGGATAGACTATTTGAAATATTCCTTCCTCCAGCATTTTTTTTAACTCTTTCTTTCACTCCATTATTTGATTATGTTTAGGAAGCTTTAAGGACCAGCAGTCATGTGAAGTAAAGGCAGTTTGGGTTAGGCAGTGCTGCCAGATGGGTGAAATAATGCCATTTAAAAAAATGAAATGTACAGTGTGTATGTACATAACACTTGCACCCAACTCTGTTTGAATGACAGTTGTACAATACAGCACCGATTCAGATTTCTTTTGTCTTAAGAACTACCCACGCACCAGTGTTTAGTTAGTGGTACTATTGACAACACTTACATGCACATATATTAAAATAATTAATTACAGAGACGCCTTCTTTGAGAATCATTTTTAGCCTGTACTTTTCAGTGACAATCTTCTCACTTTCAGAAACAAAACCCCTTGTCTTAAGAAGGCTTTGCTATAAAGAGTGGCTTTGATTTGCATTTCTGCATACACAAGACAAAATTATCTGTGCTACCTCAGAGCTGAGCAAGCTGAGAATGTTGAAGGTTTCTCAGATGCAGGAAGAATGATGGATTAGCAAGAAAAAAAAGTAGTAGGAAAAAATGTGATTGCAATATGAATTTCTCTTCATATTGTAAAACTATATAGGTAGGATGGAAAAAGATTATTTTTATTCGTATGGAAGATGATTCTAAAAGCAGTGCCCACTGTAGCCTATCAAAACATAAGGTTTCTATCGGCCTTATGTTCTATGAGTAAATTATCCATTGATTTTTCTAAATATGCCTTACATGTATGAGTAAGTAGAAGGAGCATTGCAAGTGTGAAATAAATAATGTTCAGTGGTATTTTTCTTTAATGGCTGAAACAAATGTTCACATGTTTAAACATTTGTTCACCCATCTGGTAAATGCGTTTATTGTGTCTGGTGTCAGATGTCTGTAAAGACTTAACTATGCTTAGGGTTTTGTATTTAAAATGAGTTAGAATAATGTGCTTGAAAAACTCAGAGAATAGAGGCTCATGAAGATGATCAGAAGTTTAATATGGCAACCTCTAGGTTAAGCAACTCCAGTTGTAATTGAACAGCTTGTATTAACTTTACTCAAATATGTTTCAGTCATCACTGAATGTGGAAAAAAAATGAATCTTGGTGGCTGAAATCCCTAAGAATAACAAATACCTTGTTTTCCTTTCAGACAGGACTGATGTACTGGCCTTTTGTGCAGGTGAGTTCTCAGGGTGACACTGTGAGCCTTTCCCTGCCATAAAACCCAGTCCTGTGCAGCCCCACTGTGTCTGACCTGGGGAGAAGCAGTGGAGTTGTTGGGTGTGTAACAATGCCTGGAGCACTAACTGAGCTCTCTCTCCTTCCAACACAGCTATCAAACTTCATTTTGATCCCAGTTCACCTGAGAACAGCTTACACTGGGCTGTGTGGCTTTGTCTGGGCTTCCTTCATTTGCTTTTCCCAACAGAGTGGAGATGGCACAGCAAAGTCAGCATTTATGTGGCTCCAAGGAGAGAAGGTCAATGCAGATGAAGAATCATCAGACAAATAAGAACTTTACTTCTGAACACATTCTAAATTGCTAAATTTGATTTGTGAAAGTCAGTAAATCACACTGCGGCCTCATTGCTGTGTTTAAAATAAGCAGTTATCTCAATATTTGGTGGTTAGTATAAGCAGTGGAACAGTTTGTCTTTGTGCCTGTTTATTTTTCATGAAAGAGGCCAGTTGTATATTGACATTTAATTATTTTCATGCTGTCAGCCCATCTCATCTGGGAATAACTGACTTACAGGGCAATGTAAGCATTTGCACATCATGTCAGGATGCATCACTGGGGAGAAGTATTAATGGTAATTTAATTTTCAAGCAACTTGTAATTGCTAGAAAAAGGGGAATAGAACATTAAATCATCAGTTGTTGGACTTGATAATTGTTATAAATGCAAGATTACTTTGCAGAACAAAATTTTATGGATTCCATATCTAAAAAGTGGCATTGAACATGTTTCATTGAGAGGAAACAAAAGTACTGTGTTTGTAGAGCCCACTTTTCTATGGGGCCAACTTGTTTTATTCTGTGTGAAAATTTATATAGGAAATTAATTATTTCATAGAACATACAAACCTGATTACTATATTTGTATATGTTTTATCTTAGCTGGGAGAATAAAGATTACTTTGGTAAGAGTCCTTTGGGGTGGGTGCTGCCCATTGACCCTTGGGGTCAGTCATAAGCAGCTCCTGCACAGTGGAACCCCCCCAAACACTGCAGGGAGCATTTGTTCTGTGTGCAGCCACTGCTTCCTTTGCTCCTCAAGGGCCAAAGGTACATGGGGGTCTGGACTCCTCTGCTCTTTTTAGCTATTTCATCATGCTGAAGATATAATTAAAATTTTGAAGAAAAAGAACGTGGGAAGGAAGGTAACATGAAGGCAGAATCCAGGTGTATATATATATATATATATATATATACACACACACATCAGGAACTTCCATTTCTTCCTCAAAAGGCTTTTAAACATTCCTATTCATAGAAGACACTGGGTAATTATACATAGGAGACTAGGAGATGGTGGAAATTAATTGTGTATTTGCTTTTTTAGCTTGAGGATCAGGTCTGAATACGGGTATTTTTTTAAATGTGCATGTGTATCTCAAAACAGGAACTGTACAAATTTCTGTCATTGCAGTAAGTTGAAATCAGACCAGTAAAGGACCCCTTGCTATATTAGAATGGGATTTTATGCCTTGAAGTTACTAAATTGTAAGCTTGAAAGAGTATCTGATTTAATGGGTCTGATTCTAAAGAGAAGACTCATCCCTCTGTTACAACAATAATAAACCACTTTGAGGAATGTCTGAGCTCCTCAGTCTTGTCTAAATAGTGTACCAAAGCCTGCTTAGGCTATAAATACCCATTCTGTTGGCCAGCAGCAGTATTACTTGATATATTGCTAACAATTACTTGTCACTGTAGGAGCCCAGTGCTGCTTAGCTGAGAAAGGAAAAGGGATCATGCAAGCATTGGCCAATCTATTTCAGGTAATATCAACTTGTTTAGCATAACCCAGTGGTCAAAAGTGATGCAAAGTGCCCATATGGCTTTGACCAGGGGACTGCAGCAGTGGGAGGAGGTAGAAGGTAGAGGGCTGCTTCCACAGCCTGTTCTGCTGGCAGGTGGAGCAGGTGCCTTTCCTCTCAGGATGGACAAGTCACTGCAATTCCATCTTCAGCTGCACAGGCAGATGTGGAAGAGCACACCTGCCCACAGCCTCAAGATGGAATTAACTTTAATTGACACCTTTGGCATGGACATCTCCAGCTTGGCAAATTGCTTTAAGCTGTGAGTTGAAATGTGCACTGTAAGGGCCCATTCCTCTCCATCTGTAACATGGAGGCTCAGATGACTGGTGTCTGTGTCAATAGCTTCTTTGTAGGTGCTTGTGTTTGGTGAGTTGAATTCCCCTGCTGGATGTTGCTGTATGAATCACAAAGTGTGAACTGAGCAGGTCTGATGCTGGACGTCCCAGGAGGAGTAGAAATGCACAGAGGAACTAATTGCATTTTGTCTCTATTTGTTTTCTCTATTTAGAAAATGAGTGAACAGATGATTCAGACAGCTATAGCTGTTAAACTGTTCTTGTGTATATAAAGTCCTCAGGATAAAGAAGCAATTTCAGTGGTGGTTTTTTTCTGTCGAAATTTTTGGGATCAGACTGGTATTCTTAAGTCTTTTCTATTTAGTAAGAACTAAAAGTTTCAGGTAAGGTGTGCTAATTAAATATTTAACTTTTTTTTACAGGTGCTGTTTATTTTTATTTCTGCTTGTGCCTTAAGTGTTTAATGTTTAATAGAATTCACTTGGAGAAGGGAACTGGAAAATAATGTCATTACAAGGAGAGTAAAATGCGTTTGGTTTGCTGTAAGCAGTATGTGATGCTTTGCTCTAACTCAGAGCAAAAAATCTTTCTTCATGGGTATGGTTGGTAAAACTTCATCCCCAGATGAATCAAAAATCTGTAACTTATGACCTGTATAATGCTGATGCCTTTCTTCATCAGGACTAACTAATAAATGAAAGATCCATCTTTTATTTCAAATGGCTTAAAAGCTTATACAAGCTGTGCTTTATCGCTCTTGCTTTTGTGCTACGAGCTTTTTGCTTGAGAATTTGAGCTAAATCCTGTTTTGTCTTCAAGTTCCTCTGGCTGGGGAGTTCAGAATTTCTCTCCATCTTTTATTACTTGAAGTACAGTTCTTTCCTGTAATGGAAGCCTGTGGCTCTTATATTTCAGTAGACTTTAGATCCTGCATAATCCTTTCACTTTCTCTGTTTCTCTTGTTAAGGCACTGGACAGCTAAGTAACACAGATCCCTTTCACATCAAAAAATCTGTGTTTTTTCCCTTTTAATTATGAGCACTGATTGGTCTGCCAAACATTTCAGACCCACATAATGCAAAATAATGAAGCTGCATTGGGACAATTTCTCAGTGTGCATAAATTAATGGATCTTCTAAAGATTTTCTTCCTCAGTTTAGTCTGAGGACTTACGCCCTTAGTTTCTAGAGCCTTCATTCTTTCTTGATACTTTTTTGGCTTAGAAGACTAATTTCACAGAATAACAAAATGGTTGAGGTTGGAAAGGACATCTTTATGTCCATCCCAGGTCCTGTAGTCCAACCCTATTTGATACATATGTAAACTTTTTTTGCTTCTTTTTGCAACTCAGTAATTTCCCCTGGCAGAATAAAAAAAAAGAAATAAGAAAAACATGGGAAAGATTTATCTTAATGTCTCTCTGCAACCCTTTCAAGAACAGTCATAAGGGCTTTATGACTATTTCTAGGAATTGCACTGATCTTACTGCCAGCAGAACATGCAGATTTCCACAACCAGCAAGATGAACAGAATTATACATCACATAGGTGCTCAGAAAGAAGCAACACACTGCCAGGAGCTATTAGGCCTGCAGTCAGGTGATATTTTTATGTCATGGATTCTCTCTAAGAGCAAATGGGATGAGCAGACATTTATATCAGTTCCAGCTCCATGTTATTCTGGATGGTTATGGAGATGTGGAATCTGAATTTGATAAAATGAGAAATTCAAAATTTATTTTTCTACTGCAAATCCTTTATGTAAATGAACCTTCTGTGCTTACTAGTATGCTAAATACATTCTTCTTGGAAAATTCACCAGAAGGCCTCTGCCTTTTTCACACCAGAAGCACCCACCTAGTAACACAGCATAAAATAACCAGTTCCTGCTGCAGCGAAGGTGAAACTGCCTCTAATCTGTTACCATATCTGATATGTTGAATTCTCTTTATAGAACAACCTTTGAAATCTATGCAGCTTCAGCCTTCCAATTCTCTGCTGTAAGTGCCAGTGCTTCCTGCTTGTGCTGCTGCCTCTACTGCTAGTGCCAATCCAGTGAGATGTGCAAGAAATACTTGAATTTTACTAAAATAATGTATTTCAAGTTGACTGAAATTGTCAGTGTTTTTGCAAAGGCTTAATAAACATTAAATGCTGTTCTTTGGCTCTGTCTATCTTTAACTCGTATGTGTATAAAAAAAGACAGATTTTATATAAAGTTCTTATGGGATCTTCATGGACCACATGTAGCAAAAAGCTCAACTTGTTATCACAGACCTTAACACAGCAGCAGAGTAAAAACTAACCAGGGATTATTCACTCCCTTTATAGTTTAATTACATGAAGTCATCTGCCATTTCTGAATAAGTTCAGAACAGAATTCCCATCTTCAAAGGCTTGTGCTGAAGCCAGTGGACTACTATTAAAAAGATGCAATATTTTGATGTTATTATTTCTTTAGATAGTTAATATATTTGCAGAAGGAATGGAGGAATTCAGGTAAGAAAAGTATATAAACAACTTTTCTAGAGAACAGAGGTTAGAATAGGGTCCTCCCAGAAGGACTTCACTAAGTAAATTTTGTGTGGGATACTCTTGGGAAGGAAATGGTTCAGAAGATTTAAGGCTGAAGGGAGTAATACATTCCACAACTGGAAGAGACACACCACCTCCGTTCCCTGCTGTAACTTCTTTTATAATTAGAATGAGTAGGAAGCTTTATGGAAAGATTTCAAGTTGAAAAATTCTGTTTCATAGACTTCATGGCCAACAGACAGAAAAAGGATCACTCAGTCTGAATCCTTGGGTAATGCAAAGCAAAGAGTTCTTCCTGAATCAAACCAGTCGTGTCGAATCCAATGCCATCTTCTAGGAACTTGTTCAAACACTTCAAGTAACAGGATTTTCTGTGTCTCAAAGAAATTATTTATATGTTCTTATGAAATGTTATTACTTACCCACATCAGTCTAGCCTTAACATTCTAATAAAATGTTACTCCCTTTCTGACAAGATTTAAAGATTTGGTGCAGCAGGCAAAGCCTTCTGTGTGCATGTAGTTGTAAGCAGAGTTTTTGTTTATTCCTTGGATAAACTGTAATGGGTTTAGCTCTGTTAGCCCATTGCTATATCATTCTTGAAGCTCGTTTGCAAACCCTTTTTTGCTGTGCATCCCCTAATTTGAAATGTAGACAGTAATGCTGTATTAATCCCAGTGACTTTCACATATGCCTCAGATAATATTTGTTTCTATCTCTGCTTAATATTCCCGTTCTTAAACAGCCAAGGACTATCTGTCCTCTCAATATCCAAGCTGCACTAAGAATTCACATGCACTTCCTAGTCCACAATGTCTGAAGTTACTGTAATCCATTTTAAACAAGAACAAAGAATGCAGATTACACATACGTATATAATCGTATACGTACGATTACACATACACACACATTACGTATGTGTGGCATATACTTTTCAACATCATCCACCCTAATAAACACTGCCTACCCCTTTTTTTGGCAGTTTATTACTTTTTTGGAGTAGTACCTAAAAATCTTGCGCCTTGTATCCAGAAAGAAAAACAATTTAATGCAAAGAATATAGTAGAATGTATCATTCCCTGCTATGCAACACTAGTAGCAATTACACCTTTTTGTGCTGAAAGAAATCTTGGGCCTGGAAAAGCCTAATGAGGTGTGAAGTATGGTCAAAAAGACATTGTCAAGGACAGCTCTGCTGTAGCAGCAGGTACATGAGAGAACTTCAGAAGCTGAAGAATGGGTGGTTTTGTTTGCTGTGTTCAGGGAAAACCGGTAGTGAAGTGGGGCTGTAAAACAGCAGGGGGAAAATGACAGCAGGTGAGTGTGCACACACCTAGGGGCCGTGTAAGTGATGGAACAGGGGACACCTATCCTAATGCTCCCCAATGCCAGAAGACCTCAAAAATGGGACATTGATAAGTCCCCCTTTTCATTTTACATCCTCAAGACTGACAGAACCAGAGACCAAGAGGGAGCGTGGATATGTAGCCTAGTTCAGTCACCAGAGATATCAGGACAATGGGAGCTGACTGGGAATGAGAATTGTACCCTGTTCCTGTCACTGTGATTTATCCAGTTACAACAGAACCAAAATGCATAAGCACCCAGATGGCTGTGATAAATACAGGGTTTGGCCCATATGGACTCAAACCATGCACACAAAGTTCTGCACCACGTGAGATCCTTTATCTGCTGAGGAAGTGTCAGCTTCATTCTGAATTGTGTGTCCTTCTTCAGGGTGTAACTTCGTGGCAGAGTAATCTAAGTTACAACTCTTCCCTGGAATTAGTATTTTACTGTAACTAACATGCACTTAGTGTGTGCACACGTAAGAATAAACCTTCATTATTCTTTCCTTGATTTGCCAGGATAGCAACTTTCCTCTCATTGCTCAAATATTTGGGAAAGAAAATACAAGTTTTAATGATTCCTTTTTCTACTTCTAGTTATTTGTTTTCCCCTGCTCTCTGCTGGCCAGGAGAAAACTACCTCTGAGAGACTGGTGCCCTGTGGTATTCTTGTTTTGCCATTGCTTACACCTCTCTGGGAATTAAAAAACACCTTCACTTATCTACTAAGGGTGTTCAGCTGCTTCCATTTCATGCTTCACATACTTTTAGATCCAAAATGTAACCAGACTAATAAATGCAGCTAATTAGCCATGACACTCCAATGACACTGAAGGATTTTTTATTAGTTCTACATCTAATTCAGAATGGTCATCATACAGTAATGAATTATTATGTGTTCATAACTATACCTGATACATCATGGTAATTACCCATACAATGTTTTGCTTACTGTTTTGGGGCAGAAATTGGCAAAAAAATCCAATGGAACACAGGTACAAACATAGAGAGAAATTCAAATTGTAAAGAAACCCTTTCAGAAGTCAGGGCAATGACTTTATAACTTCCAGTTCCAGTAAGGGGAATAGTGAAATGCCTGTTAGGATGCAGGGGTAATGGACCACTGATACTGCACAGGGATGTGCACCAGCAGGACACTGGCACAGATTCTTTGGGTCCCTCACAGCTTGCAGGCAGTTTTGAGTTCTCTCTGTAAAATACCAACAGGTGTAGGTAAAATGGAAGCTTACAGAAAGTCACCTTTACATTTTGGACTGTGTGAAATGAGAAAAGGCTCAGGCCCTGAGAAAGCTGTGCCTGGAGCTGTGTGCTGCTGTGTTTACAAAATTTACACAGGATGTTTATTACTTCAAAATAGATATGCCCACATACATGCTGAAATATTACTTGTTGCCTGCTGTGTTTGCAAGTCTAAAATAGCCCAGACCAATTTATCTCAACATCTAAATTTACTGAACTCAAACCTCTGTTTTTCCTTTGTAGCCATGGACACCCATCACTGATGCAAAAGCCACCTGCATAGTGACTCACCTGCACAACAGTCAGTCCAGTCATACCACTGGACTTGGCTCCAAATGGTAAAAATAAGACTCTTACATAGGCAACTTCACTACCTATGGTACTAGTAATGTACCTGACAGATGCTATAGCAGCTTTTTCTGTGAAATTTGTACCTTAAAAATACAATGAATGTAGAAAGAATTCACTAAGACAAAAGTAAAATGAGAAATAAAAGTTTAGCCAAGTATGTTTCTGAAATCTCTGTTTAGGTCAGAATTGCAGATTTGAAGTGCACAGATTGTTTCCATTCTTTCTACCAGACATTTATGCCCTGACTCTTTGCTGCTGCATCTCCTAAATTTGTGCTGTGTATTCTGACCTTCTATATAAAAAGTAGCTGAGATAAATCTAAGTAAGTCATGTCTGCCATGGGGCATCTCTGATGTCTGACAGAGGCCAGAGAGCAAGAGACAGGAGAATGGAATTGCCAACTGTTCCTGCCCAGCTATAGCTCCTGGTGGCAGGATTTAGTGAGAAATGGGAACTGAAACCATCAGGGAAAATGACTGCAAGAGCAAAGTGCACCTCAAAGTAATCTCTACCAGGCATTATTCTATGAGCGGTGAGAAGAGACACGAATTTTTCTATTTTCTGCATTAACATTGCTTTCAACAGAAGAAAAACAGCCTTCATGAGTAAAGGAATGCATTTATAATTTATATTGCTAGGTCAAATGAAAGACATCATCAGTAGGAGAGAAAATTAATTCCACTGACAAATGCAGCAGCAGCAATGCTCCAGTCAAAGTAACAAAAATTCTGATATTATATTAGCAAAAAAATTGATACATACTTGGGCCCTACTCTTGCAAACACTTTAGTGCAAATGACCTCAGCAGGTGGCTACAACACACCTGTTCATACATGCAGAACTCTGTAGAACTGGATCCTTACTGGATTTTGTGACTTCAAAATGGACAGGTAAAAACTTCCTAATTACAATAAATCACCTTATATATTCTTTGCTTTGTGCAAGTAAATTCTTTGCACACAAGTTTCTGGCTAGTGGGTGTTTTTCAGCCGTACTAACAAAAGCAGAGCTTTAAATATTCAACTAATTCTATGATAACTCCCTCGTCTCCTAAACAATGCAGCTGGGTTGTAATTACCTAAAAAACTTGAAAGGATGGTTTGAAATTAAATAGTCCTCAGATCCACTAAAAATTGGCCCTTCTTCCCGATCAGCCTGTTTCCCTTAGTCCCACTCTCATCCAGATCCCAGATGGACTCTTTTTCCTCCCACACTTACGTTCCTTACTTCTACCAGTGAGTCAGTCCAGCCCACCCCAGCAGACAGCTGCACTGTCACCCAAAATCAGCTGTGCAGAGCCCTGCCACCAGCTTTTCTGCTTGACTCACAGCTCTGTTTGGGCTCTGCCTCTAAAGTCCAAAGCCAGCGAGGATGAGGCACTGCACAGCCAACAAGAGCTGTTCCAGCATGTCTGGTGCTCAATTCATGGCATATCTCTGGGGAGCACCGCTGACAGAGAAAAATCAGAGTGCCCTGAAGATGTCCTAAAACTGTCAGCTCATCTTGTTGGCTAATTCTAATTCTCAGGAAGACAAGTAGAGAATTTTTCAGATACAATTTTAAAAGCAATGTGGAGGTTTTGTCGCCTCTGGCATGTGAAGCAGTCCTCAAACCAAATTGTTCACACAATAGCATCAATGTGTGCCAGTCCAATTAGTAAGTGTATCACTGAATCCAGAGTTGGTATTTATGAAGTGTTGATGATTTAGGACAAGACTTTGCAGGCAAAAAGTAGGTTACAAACAAATCAGCTTTACCAGTATTCACCTAGAGTACCCCATGATTCTTTATAGATGAGGGAAAAAGTGCTAAACCCCTGATTTGCTGTGGGACACTGGACAACCTGCCCAACTCCTGCTTCATTGTGTTTATGTCAGAAATTACACTACTGACAGTCAAGTGCAATGTGATCTCACTAGGAAAGGTAGTCTCCAACTGTAAAATGCTCTTCAGGGACTTCATCCATCTAACCTCCCCTACAATAAAAGACAAAACTTAGGAATAAAAATAATAATCACCACACTTGTGTTTCCTGCAAAGTAATTTCCTTTATTCCCAGCAGGCTGCATAAGCAGCAAAGCTGAATGCTGATGAAAAATGAGAGACACAAAATCTCATCTCTTGTTTCAGTACTGTCCTCTGGCTTCTGGCAATGTGATGATGGAATGAGTGTCATTCCAGTCTGTGCAGGACTTTTAGGAATGCCAAAGGCTGCATGCAAGGGAACCCGAGATGTGTTAGACTGCAAAAGGCGTGAGTGGCTGTGGATGTTGCCACTACACCCCAGTTGCTCAGGTCAGAAATGTGCTCAGCGCTGCAGCGGCCACAGGATGGACAGTCCTGCCATGCCCTGGCAGCGAGTGGATTTGCCAAATCTCGCCTGCTTGAGCGGTTTGGCCGCACAAGGGGAGCTCGGCAGGGCAGGGCAGGGATGGACAGGGATGGGATGGGATGGGATGGGATGGGATGGGATGGGATGGGATGGGATGGGATGGGATGGGATGGGATGGGATGGGATGGGATGG